TGCTGTTTTATTATGCTGTTAGATTTCATTTAGATCCTGACTTTTTTCCTTTTGTGAGGAACCCAAGGTGACTTGCATACCCCCATTTTACCTTCACAACAACAGCCCTGTAAGGTAGGTTGGGCTAGCCCAAAGTCACCCAGTGAGCTCCATGGCTAAGTGGGAACTAGAACCCAGATCTTCTGGGTCCCCAGTCCAATCACTACACCAGACTGGCTCTCCAGTATGTATGGCAGTTTTTATTGGCACTTGGGGACCATTTTGATATCAGGATGAAATCTAGTACATATGTTTGGAACCCAGTTCTATATTTTGGGTTCCAAGCCCTACTTGACTTCCATACCTGAGCAGAAAATGCAAAGCACAATGCAGTGCAATATCTTTGTTACCACACAACTTTTCTGCTCCTGTTTTTAAAGATGTGGGGTGGGAGGAAGAGAAACAATGCAAAACAAAACATAGCACACCATCTCCCTGGATCATGGAGACACCAGAGTGAGCATTTGTGTTGCAAGCACAGGAGGACATTCCATGCTGTAAGCACCCTGCCTCTCAGCACCAGCTTCCATTTACAAAGGTGCTGCTGCTGGAAGGGCATAACCGGCTGTGCAGCCCTTCAGACACGGTGTTTTCCTCATATCCAGTCTCCCAGTAAGAGAACCACAGTCCAGAAAGCATAACCTGGGGGTGGCTGATTTATAATGTCACTGAGATGTGACTTGGGACCGCAATACCAACCCTAACCATATCCTGCCTCTGTCTACCTGGACCCCTTTGATCTTCATCTGAAGCCTTTTTCTGACTGCAGTCTCCAAGGGAGACCTAGAAAGAGGACACAAGGAGGAGGGGCTTTACAGTGGTGGCCTCTCAGGTATGGAATGGTCTCTCCGCTGACATTCCAATTGTCTTGCTTTTATAAAGCATCAGATTAAAACTGCTCTGTTCTCCCAGACTTTTAATGGCATATGATGGGCTATATCTGCTCTTTAGTCAGGTCTGGTTTTTAAAGGTAATTGTTTTAGATGTTAAACTGTTCTATATTGTCTATATTGAAATTTTTAGCTGTTTTAAAATTGTGCATTGGAATTTTATATGGTGTTTGCACTTGCATTTTAATTATTTGATTAATTCTCGTGAACTACCCAGAGAGCTTCAGCTAATGGATGGCATAAAAATACATACATACATGCATACATACCATAGTACCGCTTGTGCAACCTATGTGCAAGTCCATAGAAAAGATATTGGTAACTGCTTATAGAATACTATGTCTGAAGGCTTGGGATGTTTATTTACTGAACAGTACTTCATGGCTGTTTGCCCACACAGATCATTAGGTGTCAGGCTGCAATCCTATATTCACTCATTAGGAAGTAAATCCACTGGGTTTTTTCTTTTGTAGAAATGATTAGGAGAGGGATGTCTGTCTCACTGATTCAAGTCAATCCTCCTATGAGTCATTTGCTACATGTAGGCTGCAATCCTAAACACACTTAAGCATATTGAACTTTGTGATCCCATGAGTCATCCCTCGTAGGCTGTGCTGTCAAGTACACATTGAACTCAGCAGAGTTTACTTCCAAGTATTTTTCTCCTTTTTGTTAATAAATGGGCTGTAAAAAGAATTATTCCTCTGAGTGTCTCCCTTTGCTATAATTGAATCAGTATAAAAGGGAGAGAAATGCTGTGATAAAAAAAACTCCTGCTACGTGGTCTGATATTAGATGCCTCTCCTAATGTGGGAAGTTCTAATAAAGCACGCAAGAGACATCTAATAGGCCTTTAAATACTATGGAATATTCCATTGGATTAGAGCCATTTTCCTTCCATGAATACAGAGAGGACTTTCCATGGGGATATATTCTCACAGGGACATGGGAACTGGTAAACAGTGGGGGTCATCAGCCACAAATCCCCATTTGAGTATTTACATGAAGCAGACTGAGAAGATTTTCATGGAGGATAAAATGAATAGATAATTTGAAAATTAAAAAGCACAAGTGGATTCAATTGTGCTTTCCTGTTGTCATAAATATTGATTTGAGTATTGAGCAGACTTTATTCCTTGGATGCCAATTTGTGACTCATGCACAAGGATCGACTTTGGGGGCAAGCAGATTCAAGAAAATGATAGCATGGGACTTTATTAATCCCTCCTTCTCCTAGCAGGGTAGCTCCAATTATTCTCTCCCTCTTCCAATACACACTGATTATTAGTCTTATTTTAGAAATCTGATCAGAGATCTCCTGATACAGTCTGGTCCTGCTTTGTTGAACTGTGCATAACTGTATAGACTTATGACTGGAGATCTTAGCAGTAAATGTAGGAATTCTTTTAAGTGAAAATAATAAAAGTAATAGTTATTGCTTATAATTTAGCTTATAATTAACACTTAATTAAATGTTATAGCCACCTTCAAAGGCTTACATGAGACAGTGTATAGCTGCTTTAAATAAATAAACAAACAATTTCATACACCAAGAAGGTGGTACCAATAGGTACAGGTGTTAGACATATCAGTTTAAATGGAAATTCAGATTTTGTTCTGCTCAGGTTCTTTGCGATGCAGTCTCAAAGGCTCTTGACTATTCCATAGGCTGCTTCAGTATGTCAGAAAGTATGATATGGCCATTTAAAAAAAGAGGGTAGCCTGTTTCACTCCTTTTTTAAAAAGCAAAACACGACTTATCTGGAAAACATGGGCAAATGAAATTATTCTTGACCTGCATATTGGGAACTTAGGTGTCCAAACTGACTTTTTTAAAAGGGAGAATTTGACCTTATGAAATGATGCACATGATAATTTCATAAAATATTTATTCTTCCTTCCTGGTGTCCAGTTAAGGAGTTTGCAACTTCAAAAATGGCCTGGCAGAACTGGCTTTGCTGAGATATCCAGATGCCAACTCTACACATGGATTATTGTTCTTGACATTCTTAAAATAATATCAAATGTCTCACCTAATAAAGCACTTTTTTCTGCTGGTGCCAGCATTTCCTTTAACAAAATTGCTGCAGGATATTGTTACTGATGTTCTGTCCAGCAGTTCTGTGCTTTTCCTATTGTTCATGACCTAAAGATGAATCTTCTTTACACAATGTACTTTGTCTAAAAGCCAGATACATTAGCAGCATTTTAAAGACAAAGGCTAAAAGGGGGGTTTTGCAACTTATATTATTTTTGTGAAGGATGAAAATATTTCTTAATTTTTATGACCCATCTTTCCACCCCAGGATTGGCTGTGTTTTGGGATTGTAGTAATGATCCCACTTTTGCAGATGCTGTCCTAGAAAATCTGAGAATTTCCTGGCTTTCACCACAGTTCTTAAGACTTGCTTTTTCTTTACAAACATGGCATGGCATTTAAGGACATCTTTCTTCCTAACAATATGATTACCAAATTGCTTCACTCCTTCGGATGCTTTATGCACGAGAAGGTATAGGTCTGAAATGTCACTGTCATTTGCACCGTCAGATCTCAAAGTGCATATTCAAGCTTGCCTTATCTTTGACCACAAATATTAATGGTTCGAGAATGGTAACAGGTCATGCTTACCTGGGAAGGGATACTGATCTATACTAGAGATTTGTGCATATGGAATTGGTACTGCTCTCCTGCTACCAGGAAGCATGAGATGCAGCTTAGCTTGAATGAGCATTACAGAATATACAACCATTTATGGCACGATAGCCTTTTGCAATTTTGTGAATGTAATTAGTGTTAGTGGTAGGGTTAGGGTTAGGGATGGCATCTCTTGGCACCATAATGCCAAGACTGTGAAACCTAACCCTGGTGTGCATGCTAAGGGGGACCCAAGGGATATGCATCTCAGAGTCATTTGTGCACGTCAAAACATATTTTAACCATTTTTAATGGCATGCTTGTGTAACCAGCACATAACTGTATGGCTGGCACATTTTGAAGTCACATGTAACACAGAGGTGTCTGCCCACCCCTCCCTCTTGCTGTTGGAAGTCCCCCTCAAGGGGATGGAGTGGACAGAGCTGTTCCCCTGGAGGCTATAGGAATCCACCATGGCAGGAGATACCCCGGCTGTGACTTCACTCAGATGGGCAAGCACAATGTTTTTAACTGACAGCTGCATAACTCTAGGAAAAACATCCAATATATCAAACTAAGGTGTATTCCATCCTATGCAAAGCTGGGTTTGCCCACAATGACCCTTTCAGTGGATGTGTGAGTACTTGCTCTTTGCTTGTGGTACACACAGTGTTCTGTGTTGTGCATTTGCTTCAGGTAGTGGATGCAGCTGTCAGTGGTCTGATGTGGTCTGTTTTTCTCAACAGTGTTCCTTGGTTTGAAAAGGAAACTAACAAAACAGTGAATTCTTTTTGAAACAGTCTCTGAATGGCTGTAAGTAGACAGCCTGCTGGGTTCATATTTGGGGCACCTTCCATGTTTTTCCCTCCCATGAAAGTCATGTGGCTACAGTGTTGTCTCTGGCAATTCCCTATTTTCTTCAATTCTCTGAAAAATTCATTTATTATTTAAAGTTTTTATACCGTTCTTTAGTGAACCCTCACACAACAGTGCGCATCACTTAGAAGAGCAAAACCATACACCCAAAACATATACATAATACTAATAGGAAATTTGAAAATATAAACAACAAAACTGATCCACAGCAACCAATCATCATACAATAAACACCAGTCTAAAATCAATCTACTATTCAACGATTAAAATGATGGGTCAATTCAAAAGTGTTATGCATACTTAGGCAGAAGTAAATGCTGCAGTTACCAGCATTCACCAGCCAGTAATGGGGAAGCTGCAGTGTGATTGCTTTCTAACTCATAGCCTGATCATAAAAAAGTAATTTAGCATTATTGCTGGTGATCATTTCTAAAACTTCCTAAGAACTGTCATGAACACTTCATGAATATGTGGAACTGACAATTATAATAATGTTTTAAATCACTAAAGGCAAACTTTTCAAGCATATATCGGTTTAATGTTTTGATTTCTCTTCTTAGGGCCACCAAGGGAGAGCTGGAACTCCAGGTATTCCAGGACCCCCAGGGATTCAAGTAAGTTTGCCACCCCTTTTTTGCAGTACAAAGATCTAATGCTTACACACTAATCCTTCCAAGTGTAGATGAATGATGGTTTCATAATGGGCTGATAAAGTTAGTAATGTCTGATCATTTTTTGCTAGGGGCCACGTGGCTCTCCAGGCTTGAAGGGTGAACCTGGGTCTGATGGGACAAAGGTACGAGTAGTTTTAATATCTCTTCCTTTTCATAAACAGAAACTTACGAAGACTGAAATCCTATGCAAGTTTAGGCAGAAAAATATTGTTCAGTTCCCAGTATGCTCCAAGCACTAAACCAAGCTTGTGGGATGCTGAAGGTTGTAGATCTTTTTTCCTGTCTAACCCTAAAGCATTATTATAACCATAACAAATCAATGTCCCAACTGTTCCATACATGGCCTTAATGCCTGTCAGATCTGTACTACATTGTGTAATATGTGCCTTTGTTTAGCTTATATTACTTCCCATAAGGATTTCTTGACCCCCCCCCCCCCATTTTTGGATTTTGACTCTAAAATGCCTTTGCATCCTTACAAATCACAATTAAAGGTTAGCTAGGTTTGTATCTTTAACATTTCTACTTATTTGAACACATCTTTCTAAGTTACACTTTGCAAAAAGGTGTCAATGTGAGTGTTGCTTGAATTGCTTTAAAGACTTTGTTTTTAAAACCTCATTCTGCATTTAAGGAAAACTGGAGCATCTGAATTTTCTGCAATGTGTTTTTTGTATAGCGTAGCATACTTTGGTATGGCATAGGATCCTTCTACTACTTTAGATAGCTCTTTTCCATTTACAAAGTACTGAAGTTGTTGACTAATTCGAATGTGTTCATTAAGCTCCTGATAAGCATGTGATTCCAAGTCCTGAAAAATGTCAGATTTAGCTCCACAGGTGCATTTAAGATTTGTACCTAAAATGTCCCCAGTGTTTCTGGTGTGTGAGCACCTGGGGCCTTTTCATGAACATTAGTGCACCTAGAAGTCCTAATGCAGCTAGGTAATGAGCCAGATGTAGTTCTGCTGCACACCTTTATGTAGCCAGGAGTGTTCCTTCAGTTGGGAAGCACCTGCTTTTCTTCTTTCACACAACTGCTGATCCATGTGTCACAATTGCTCCTGAATTCCTGATACATCAGAACAAAACCACAGCAGTTTGCCAGCCTTGATATATTTTGGGTGTCTGCAGTTTTGCATTTTAAACCCACCTCCAACATATCAATGGGTGATCACTGGGGAATGGGGCTAGGTTGTGGTGATGTAGATTTTGCCCCAAGGTCCAGTCCTAGCTGTACCATTACTCCTAGATGTACAAGGAGCCTTTGGATCAGATGTTTTTACTTCTTCATTTCCTGTGATGTAGGTTGCCAATAGGATTTAGCTCAAAGCCAGCCAACAAATTAATGTCTGAACTCACACGTGGAGCCCCTGAGTTGAATGCTCTTTGTTTGTTATATTAGGCTTGGATGCGTAAGATGATGGTGATACAGAATACCAGTGTGGGACATGTAGAAACTTTTCGTACTTTTCTATCATAATAACATTATTTACAGTACATTTTCAGTGGATTGCATTTAAAGCACTCCTTCTGAACTGTATTTCAGAGGATGTGACTAAAAACTTGGTAACTGTCCAGATGCTGATTTTTAATATGCTTGCTGGTGCAATCAACTGCTCTTAATGCTGCTTCACATCAGGTGGTGGCTAAGATATAATTCAGCTGTCTTGTTGGAATAGATCAAGATGAGCTTGAAAATAAATTATCATCAGCAGTAGTTTAAAAAACTTGCTTGCTCTCTTTGTGTGTGTGTGGAAATTTAACATCTGGCAATGACAGTAGGGAACAGTACGGAAGCCAAACTCATAAACAGAGCTACCTAATAAACTTTCTCCATACACAATCCCATAGACATAAGTAACAATTACAAACAATTCATCGTAAATTGTTTTCTTAATACATGCACCCGAAATGCATGGTGCCTATATGAATGTTCTTCAGTGCAGCCATAATATACATCTGATATGACAGGCTGTACCTGGGTTGAATCTTTATGAGCCTGGGGGCAACCTGAACCCTGGATAGCTCTATGCTTTTGTGCATTCCAGTTAGTTTGTTCCTGGCCGGTTTCAAAGTGCTGTTGTTGGGAGCCGTATCTGGCAGATATATGAGCCCCTGATGATTTTCTAGCTTTTTGTCAAGCCAGAGTATTGGATTTTGGATCTGATTCTCTATACTGGTTTCTCAGTTCCTAAGAATGAATGGCTGTAGCTTAATTAGTTCAGAAGAATCTGTGAGTCATGACCAGCTGAAAGAATTTAGGGGCTCTTTACTGAATTATATCGTAGGATGAGTGAGAGGCTGAAGGAGTATTTGGATTAGAGAATGTGGTTGTGAATGCCAAACCTTATGGATCATAGAACCTCTTGCCGCTTGTATTTTTTTCTGTCTTGCTCAGTTGCATCATAGATCTTTTCTTTTTCTAGGGTGAACGCGGTCTTCCAGGTTTCCCTGGATTACATGGGATGCCGGCATCTAAGGTTCAAACCAAATGCTTCTTGTAAAAATGGGTAGGATGTTAAAAAGTATCAAGGGATTTTCAAGTGAAAAATAAAATATGTAAGTTGCTGTGGCAGCTGGTCCAGGTACTTTGGTTTGAAAGGTTGCCCAGTATTATAAGCAAGCGATCCCGTTCAGCAAGTGAGCGTTCATGTAAGAGTGGCCATCTTCTGCCCATCCAGTGTTAGGCAGCCATCTGTTTCATCAGTGAGGCTGGGAGAGGAGGATGAGGATGAGGATGATGATCAGCAGCAACATTGCTGTACCACTCAATAGCCAAAGTTTTGTGAGTAGTGAGCCATTGCTCAGTATAGCTCCTGCCCAGATCTGGGAAACTGGTCTACTCTCTTCATATCAATCCGATGACTTAAACAAGGCTGACAGTCACTGTGTCGCCTAACGTCAACCCAAAGTTTTTCCCCAGTAAAATACTTGTCTGATTGCTCCATATCTGATTACACCTCTGACACCCTCTGCATTCACTTTGAATCTAACCTTTTTCCATTGAACCTGTTCTAAATGATTACAAATGACCCCAACAGTTCATTGGTGATACCTTACTTTTTAAAAGAATCTAGGCTTTAAAAGATGAAGAAAAGTACACATCCTAAAATGTGGTGGAGGCATTGCATCTGTTGCTGCTCCTATATAGAATAGACCTATTGAAAACAATGGGATTATGTGCAATTTATGCTTGCTGCAACTTGAGGCATTTGCTTCCAGGAAAGCATTTATGTGTTCATTTTAAACCATACCCTTACCACTTAAGGCATTGCTTTTGCTGTCACCCCGAATAGGGTGCTACATTTGACATGTTCTGTATTGTGTCATTTCCTTTCTCAAATATCAAAATCAAAGTAATCTCTGTATATGCATTTTGATCAAGGGTGAGAAAGGACTCAAAGGCGACCAAGGACTACCAGGAATTTATGGGAAAAAGGCAAGTCTGAATTTAATGTTCTGCAGTACTACTAGAGATATGGGGCACATTCTGTTTTCTACTGGTCAGGCCCTTGGTCCATCTATCCCAATATTATTAACACTGACTGGCAGTGGCTGTACTTTTTCTGGCCCTATCACAAGATTCTGAGCATTTTCTGGATGCAAAGCAGTGCTCTTTTGCTGAGCCACAGGCCTTCCCCTTTCTCCACCCCGACCTTTGGGGACTCATAAAGGCCTGCCATAGTGAGCTTTACAACCCCCAAATCTTTGGCAGATTCATGTATGAGCCGGAGAAGACTCCTTGGCTCCCCTCCCTCCCCGTGGGTGCAGGGGACAGGAGCACTGGTGCTGTGCATGGGGAGCGGGCAAGAGAGAGCTCCACCTCTTCCCCTGCACCCAGTGCTGTGGCCACATTTCCCACTGACCACCTGCCCTTTTGCTCTTATTTGTTTGTTTAAAGTTTTTATATGCCAGAGTCTTTGGATTGCTTACAACAAACAAACAACAACATATCAACAAACAGCACGCTGCATCCTACCATTAATGATAAAATCAAAGATAAAACCAATTCCGTGTTAAAATGTTGGCAAAATAAAAAGGTTGCAGGCTGTTCTGCAGTACCCGGGGTGCCAGTGGGCTGGGTGCAGGCACAGAGCTTTCTCCCTCTCTGCATGCCACCCCACTGCCCCCGCTGCTCCTACTCTGGTGTGATCCAAGTGTTTTGGGGGGAATTGGTGTGTGTGTGTGGGGGGGGGGGCGGTCCTATACCTCAGATGAATTTAGAAATTAGCCAAGTGATTTTTGATTTTGGGAGATTCCATTCCTTTCTGGGGAGAATGTACACTCATGTCTATTAGCCAGCCAGGCAATACAGATTTACTTCATAGCAAATCTGAAATGTAGGCACAACTAATGTTGGTTGGTTGATTGACTGGATTCCGTATGCTGTTACCATAGCCCATGATTGGGCTCCCTGTGTACCTTACAACATTTCACTCAAAGGGAAGAAAGCCAAGCTGTTCTCCCCTAAACGAGTTCTACCTTGCTCTTGGCAGGAGCTCTGTATTCCCTTAGGTCATCCTGCTGTGCCTTGAGCTTGCCTCACTTTCCTCCCCCTCCATACCAGTTAGCTGTCCAGTGCAACCTTCCCAGGTTTGTGAGTGGTGGCCCAGTATATGCTGCAGCAGCCACAGTGAGAAGCACAGCAGCACCTCTGGAATTTTAACAGATGGTGTTGACATGCTGGCTTGTGGCTCCAACAATGGAGTTGTCTTGCATTTTATGTCTGTATGTTTCCCTCTTATGTTCCATGCAATGAGCAGATGCCCTCGGGGTGCTTAGCAATTATTTAAAAGCAAAGAAACCCCAAACAGCCATAACCTAACAGCCAAGGCGATAAATACAGTGAACATATCAACATACTGAAATGCTCAAAATACCGGTGAGTCAACATGTTAAAGTTTCAATGCCTGCATGCAGAGGAAGGCCATTACCAGGCACCTGAAGGTATACAGGCCGTTCTGCATGAGGAAGGCATTCCACAGATTGGGACCACTATAGAGAAAGCTCTTTCCTGGTTGCACACATAAGGACAGCAGCACCCAGCAAAGAACCTTTGAAGACACTCTTGGCCATCGGGCAAGAACATAGCGGTTTCTCTGTTCTTTTGACAGGGTGCAAAAGGGGAAAAGGGTGCACTGGGATTTCCAGGAATGCCTGGCCGTCTTGTAAGTTTGTTTTGGATTTTGACCTGTCACCCTCCCCACCACTGTTTTTGTTTTTACTGTACTCTTATTACATTCTGGAAAATAACAGCATCTTAATTATATTATCACAGGGGGATCCTGGGAGGAATGGAAAGGATGGCATACCTGGAAGCCCAGGTTTTAAGGTATTTGAAATACTGGGTGTATTCAAACAGTATACTATATATAATTAGTGTAATGTATAAACATCTGCACACAGGTATTCATGGATGTTGAGGGCAGGGGACTTCTTGCCAGAGAAAGGAAGGCCAACCTCAGCAATTTAACCCATAAAGGAGTCTCAAAGCACCCCCTCCATGCACTGAAAGAAAGAGCAAGGAGAGCCATGTGGTTTAGCACCAGCCATGCTTCCCATCCTCCTCACGAAATCTTTCTAAAGGGCTTGAAATCCGATTGTGGGGTTTTTTCCTCCTGTGCTCTCCACCCTGTCCCCTGGCCTCCACTTTCCTCTGTCAGAAATCCCTGAAGCATGCAAACCGCCCTCTTTTTCTGTGCTTGGTGCCATTTTGTCTGCATGACCAGTGGCACCCCTGGCTGCAGATGAGAAACAGAAAGAGGAAGAGCATGTGGTGGAGGATCATCCGAGCAAGCCATGTTTCCAGCTATTGCTGTGGAGGTCAATATTTTATTTTAAATCCTATTTTTAGTGTGTGATTTTGATCGGGGAGAGTTACATTTTCCATTTACTCCAAGATGATTCTAAAACAGAACAGGAAAAGGCGCTTACAGCACTTTTTTCAAGTTACTTTTAACTATAAAAGCAGTAGTCTCTAATTTCTGCTGGAGGAAAATTTTGTCAGCTTGCCTTTTAACATCTGCTCTCTATAAAACATCACTTTACTTTGGTCTTATTGTAATCAAAATCAGAGGATTTTAACAAGCGAGGCAACTTTGGAGATTTCTGCTGGAGTCTTCCTTGTTTTCTTAAAAAAATCAAAAACATATTTATTCTTGGAAACAATAAGAGGAATACTTTGTTGCACAGCAAACCCATACTCTGTACAATTTGGCCTCAGTGTGGTCGTACACATGGGGATGTTGCTGTGTGGAATGATCCAAATACAGTCCTTATTTGCGGAGTGGGTGAGTTCTTGCTTCCCTTCCTGCCTCTTTCTGTTGATTCTAAAACTGCTCCAGAAATCAGGTTCAGCAAGCCCCAGCTGTCTTGCGGCAGACCCAGACATGGCAGGACATGGTTTGTGCAATTCCACATCGTGAGTGTTCTCTGATTGCAGCATTTTCTGAAAGCATAGCCTCCCCACCTCAAAGTGCTACCAGCAGCACATCCTGCAGCACATTGAAGCATCTTGCAAACCACCTTCTCTCACAAGCAATCGGACATTGCAATTATCGTGTTGCCCATTTGATAATAGTAATGAACAAATCAGGGACCAGCATCGAGATTCCCGGATTCTCTCCCATTACAGAGCAGGCTTTCCCCTTCAAGGAGTAGAAGAAAACTTGCCCCTTAACCTTCCCCTCACAGCTAGTCAGTAACCATGGTTAAAGGCTAACTAGGGATTTTTCTGAGACTCATTTAGAACTGCAATTTTAAAATTCTGGTGAAGGCAAACTGAATGGTCTAAACCAGCAGTACACAACAATGTAGGGAGGTGGGGCTGGACAGGCCTTCTATAGGCCAGACAGTATCACTTGCCACGTCCGAGCCCAATAACATCATTGCCTCAGCCGTTTCAGCCTTCCTCCTTGCTGAGAGAGACATGGCGTTCCTGTAAGGCTGGACCCCCTCTGTTATTTCCAGTCTGAGATCAGAAATAGCAGTGAGAATTCCACCAAGCGGTGGAGCTAGGAATCAGTCCCCCCTGCACATGCACCTTATCCCTCACATGAACCCATAAAATTAATTCCTGAATAGATTTTACTTCTGAACGCAACAGTCAGATGTTCTTGAAGTCTGAAAGTGGTGTGCCAGGAAAAGTTACCGTACTACATGAGGAAAAATGACCTGGGGCTCACAATCAGTTGTTTTTGTGTGTGTAGAAAGGCAATGGGGCCTCAATGCTTGGCTAAACTAGTTGAAATAATCCATGTATACTACGCATACTGCACAGAGATTTCTTTCCTATAAACTGCTGCTGTAGAAGATGGTGTTGTACTGGTGCGTGGAAACATATAAGAGTTCAAGATTGTTGACAAGGTTCTTAAGCAGAGATTTCTGTTTGGGATGACCAGATACTATGTGTCCATGTGCTCAGGAATGTCAGAGGAGGGATGCTTGGAACACAGTGCTGTCAGCCATGAGGTCTGTTCGTGTATTGAGGGCAGATGCTGCTCTTTCCAACTCTACACTGTCTTTCAGTCAGAAGAGTGGCCTGGAAGAGCTGATTCCAGTAGCCAACCCATGGTGTGAGATATTATCCATTAATATACATGCACTGGCCAAAAGAAATTATTCTACAAAAAGATGATATAAATGCATTCTCAGGCTGAAACCATGGAGTGTAGGGCAGTTGCATGGCATATGCACCGGGACATCTCTTTCATCTGATGATCCCCATCAAAGTGAACTATCACTGACTCCCCCCTCCCCGCTTTATACCCCAGGGCAGGGATGGGCAACATGTGCCCCTCTAGATCTTGTTGGCCTGCAACTCATGTCCACCCCCACCATGTTCACGATGGCTGATGGGAGTTGCAGCCTAGCAACACATGGTGGGCCATGTTGCCATTGACCTCTCCCTGATCTCTTTGAGATGTGTTTATGTGAAGAGTTGACTCCAAGATGGAACTTCCCCTCCTTTGCTCTTGGTCTGGAAAGCTCCTGGCTTGACTCTCAGGGCGGCTCCTGCTGCAGGAGGCCTGGAGGAGGTGAGCTTGGGGGGCTGCTGGGAGGGAAGGCCTAGTGCATGACTGGAAGAGGACACGGTCCTTTGGATGCCAGGCAGGGCCCACACTCCTGATGCGTGCAGGACTGTATAGGAGTGGCATGAGATGGTAGCGAGAGGTAGGGCAACTGCAGAAAAGGGAGCTAGCGATATATGTAAGATATTATTTTTATGGCTGTGCGTTAGCCATCTGTTTTTTGGATGGAGCTCATGTCCTTTCATGTATGGAACCATGTACAGAAAAGTTAACATTTCAGATTATTATTTAACTATATGCTATCAATATTTAGGGAGAAGCTGGACAACCAGGTTCTGCAGGACCAGAAGGAAGACGAGGTGACCCTGTAAGTTTTTTTTTTTAAACTAGGCTTACATCTAGTTATGTTTTTCACTAATCTCTTGAGATACTTTTGATGAGAGTCAGCTATTTTAAAAAGAAAATTATTTATTTAGAAATGTGTTGTCAAATTAAATTCATTCTGCTCCAGAACTAGTGTGGTTTGCTCCAGAGTTATGGAATTTGTTTTTGTTTTTATTTTTACTACTAGAACTCCCAAATCTAGCAACAGAAACCAGTGTAAAGCAATGCTTTAGTGTGGGCAGACATGTACTTAAGATTTAAGGAACTGGGTGCTGCTGAGCACATGGACATCCTAGGGGATTGTTTTCAGTAGTAGAACTTATCTCTTAGCTTCTACAGGTCAGCAAGTTTGGCCTCAAGAAAGCAAAACCCTTTTTCTGAGGTCCAGGAGCTCGTTGCACTGAGCACATACCCACAATTTGTATCCAGCTGGTAGATAGTTGTAAATAAACTGGATAGTCTTCACATCCCTTCTTAATTACTAAATTTATTGCTGGATTTTTAAAGAAAATTACCTGGTTTGTTAAAAATCAAGTTATTTGGCAGCAGAAGTCGTGGAAGCATTGACTCCCTTGGTCTGCTTTCCTCATTGCCTATACTTGCGTGTATACTTAACTCATGTGTATGCTTCACTTCTTAATTTGACACTTTGTCAGTGAGACTCAGATATTTTGTCACTAGAACTTGTTCATGCACTTGATCAACTGGACCTCTCCCCCAGCTCTGTTCAACTTTATTATTTTGACTGACTTTCCCCAACTCCTGAAGAAGCCAACTAGATTAGAAGCTATAATTCTAGATGCTCTTCATGTGTGCGTGTGCGCGCACGCATGCGCGCCATTTGCTGCTAAATATGAGACAGAAAGGTAAATTAATTATAGTAGCCACTCCTGTATAATTCAAAATGATGATGTTTAAACTTAAGGTTTGTGTCCAATCGATGGCTTTCCTGTTTGTTTATTTTATATGCCTTGTCAAAGCAAAACAAAAACCGGAGCAGCTTACAAGTAAAAAGTTAAAACCAGATACTACAAAAATACAACATGAAAATAAAATTGCAAACAGCAATGGGATAAAAACAGCTGCAGTGGATATCAGCATAATAGACCAAACAGTACTAAAACGTATTTCTGACTGACAGTTCTTCATGTGAATGAGCATCAGGGAAGTTGTCATGTGGCTGCACTGGCCTGGATATAGGGTGCAGTGAGGAAGAAGGAAATTGGGTCAGGAAAAACATACAATACCTTTCTGTGTCCAAAAATCTCTGCTAGAAGGAGATGCTTGATGAACATGCCTGGACTGGAGTACACATTTTTGTTCATTGCACTGACTTCAGCCATATCTAGTGCCAGGAAAATCAGTGTTTGAATTCCGTAAAAGTAAACAGTGTTCTACATCTGCCAATGAACTTTAGGAATGGAGATCTTGAAAAAAATGGTCTGTCTCTCATTATCTGTTAGTCATTTTGAATCTCTCAAAAAGGTGGGCTATAAATCTTGAAAGATAACCAGGTAACTTTCTGTGTGTATTTTAGATCCTCCTTCTTAAATATTCCACCTAGCCATGATATGCGCCTCAGTTGAGATGGAAAGGCAAAAGACTTGGTTCAGGTATAATAAGAAAATTCAGGTATAATTTTCAGGTATAAAAAGAAAAAGTATTCCCAGTATTCGAATGTACATATATTCCTCCATTTCATCTCTGAGACTGAGGAAACTGGAAGTTTTTGTTTTTAATTTTAAGCATGCCACTATTCCTTATGACATCCAAAACTGAACTATGGTTAGTAAGAATAAGTCAGGATTAAAGCATCACTTCCTGGTATGTCCAAACTTTGTAAAAATGATCAATTTCACAAAACATTGTTTACCTTAACTATTATGGTTAAAAACAAGTATTTCAGTAATTTGGTGAAAAGATCTGCATTTCTCCTGAGCAGAAGACATTGGCTTTGACTGCAATGGAGAATGCTGGTTGCTGAGGATATGCAATAAAGTTGAGTAGGTCACAATCAATATTTACCTTAGAGGTAAACTTTGGGATTTTGAGGCCTGTGGGAAACCATATGAGGCTTTCAGTTCATCAATTACTTGATCTGTCAAGAGCTTCTCGGGAGGAAACTTGCTTGGCCAGCAGTCATAAGCCATATTATTTGTTGGTTTGTTTTAAAAAAATTAAGTTGTGTTTTATGCCTGCACTTTCATAAAGCAAGGCATAACTAAGAAGAAAAGCAAGAAACAAAGATAAAAATAACCACATTAGCAAACAGGCAGGATATATGTAGAAACTATATGCAAATATGTGATCTGGTTATAATCTAACTGTAGATTATATGAAGTAAAGGTAAAGGTTTTCCCTTGACATTAAGTCCAGTCATGCCTGACTCTAGGGGGCGGTGCTCATCTCCGTTTCCTAGCCGAGGGAGCCAGCGTTTGTGCGCAGACAGTCTCCGTGATCATGTGGCTGGCATGACTAAACACCAAAGTGCACGGAACGCTGTTACCTGCCCACCGAAGTGGTACCTATTCATCTACTTGCATTTGCATGCTTTCGAACTGCAAGGTTGGCAGGAGCTGGGACGGAGCAACGGGAACTCACCCTGTTGTGCTAATTCGAACTGGCAACATTTCGATCAACCAGCCCAGCAGCACAACGGTTTAAACCACTGTTCCACCTGCAGTCCCATGTAGATTATATAGTTAACCTCTAATTATGAGATCCAGTCTTGGACTGGGACTCGGGAAATCCAGATTCTAGTCCCCACTTGATCATAAACTCATTGGGAGATTTTCAGCCAGTCGCTGGCTCTTTGCCCAACCTACCTTACAGAATTGTTATGACAAAAAAATAAAAAAAGATGAGGATTAAGTAAAACACACTGGAATATAAATAATCTCACATTAAATGCAGCATCAAAGAGGAAAGTCTTCAAACTTGAATGCTACACACAGAAGGGACACACCAATAGGAAGTGAGTTCCACAGTTTAAGGAACTAATATGTAATTGCTACTGAAATATCAATTAGTTTCAAGGGCTTAATTTTTAGTCAAAGCCACTACCATGCTAATTAAGATTGGTGTGATTGTACGTTTTCATCAAGAGCAGTCAGCTCATTCAGTTGAAGCCTGAAGGATCACATTAGATACTCTCCATAGGGACTTCAACATCGTAAACCTTTAGCTTTTCATAAACTAGCAGAAAACCACAGTAAGATTACAGTGGGCCACAAATATGTCTTCCTGGCCTCTGGTGCTACCGTTTGCTGCACAAATCCAGTAGCAATGGTTTATATATTTATCTGCTACTACAATGAGGAACAAATTCAGTTTGTGGTAAATTAATCTATATTATTCTCTCTCAGCTGTACATAAGACAATCACTTTCCAGAATAGCATCTCCTCCTGGAAAGACTTCCTGCTTTCCCAAACTTGCCCTAAATTTTGAACTGGGTGTAGAGATGTAACTTAGAACAAGGCAAGTAAGGACGACATCAGTAAGGAGTGTTTAAAATTATGCACGGTGAAGAGAAAGTAGAGAAGGAGACATTGTTCTCTGTCTCCCAAAACCTTGGGGTCATCCCATGAACCTGATTGGTGGGGCAGTTAGGACAGATAAAAGTACTTCCACTTGAAGTGCACAGCTGAACTATGGAATTTACTTCCATGTGTTGAACCAGCCAGTTTGGATGGCTTTCAAGGGGAACTAATTCATAGAGGAAGGCGCTACCAGTGACTACTAGCCTTGCCGGCTGTGTGCTCCCTCCATTATCAGAGGCAGTTGCTGAGGAGCTTGGACAGGCAAAGGTCTTGTACCCGTCTTACTTGAGGGATCCTGTGGGCAGCTGTTCTGTCACTGTATGAATGGAATACTGGACTGGGTGAACCATTGTTATGACCCAGCATGCGTTTTCTTTTGCTCTTATGATGCACAGGCGTAAAAACTGTTCTGTCCATATTTCATGGATTCCCAGGTGCCTTTCTTTCTGTTGTATGCTAGTTGCTTGAACCAGATTCCATACAAATGCATTTATACAAATCTGCACAAAATCATACTTGTGCAAATTTGCACAAATTTTCCCAAATATGCAGATCCTCCAAAAACGCAGTTTCATACTTTATCCCTTGTGGGAAATGTGCAAAATGTATGTATGTGTATGTATGTATGTATGTATGTATGTATTTTTCTACAGCTACATTTTATAAAAACATGGAAAATAAATATAATGATCCATGGACCTCAGGAAAAGGTGGTCTGCTTTAGAATTGTGGCCCAGCTTCTTAGAAATCTGAACTGTGTTGCGGGTTTTTCTTACATTGCTAATTGGAGGATGGGTTTTGGCAGAGTTCGAATGAGCTCTATGGAATTCTGTCTATTAAGACAACAACACAATAGCTTTACCTTATTACATGAGAGGGAAACAGGGCAGTACTGTAGAGCCCCACACTGATGCTGTGCACATTTTCTGGCACCTGCCTGCCAAAGTTTGCATATACAATGCAAACATCTGGTGGGAGGCCTATGTAGATACATCTGTGAGCCTTTGCAGAGAAGATTCTGAAGTTAGTGTGAATGCCTAGAGGCTGCTTATTCACAAACTGCAAGCCCAGCCAAATGGTAATAGTTTATTTTTTTATTTTTATTTTTTGCTTTCAAGGATATCTGAAATGAATACTTCAATAATCTTAGCTTCATCTTGTTGGAATGTTTTAATATTTTCATTGTTCAGACAAACCAAACAGCAACAAAATCTGGCACAGAGCTAGGAGGCTTAAGCACACTGCTTGTATCCAACTGCTGTATTACATTAGGAATGCAATTAGTAATTCACTTGGCAAGGATGCTGTTTTAAAATATATTTTTTGCTCCAAGCTACCTGTATGATGAAATAATTAGTTACCATGATATTCATTCTTTCTATATTTAACTATGCTTGTATCTGTTCCTCAGTAAGGTAAATATATGATTAATAAAAAATTAAA